CTTCGTCCCCAAAATCATCTACGTCAGAGACATGTGAAGCAACGTCATCAGTGGGATTGTTGTTCTCGAGACTGCTTAAGGCTTCAAAGAAATTGGGAATGGGATGGTGTACTCATCATTACCTACTGTCACCATGGGATGGTTTGACTGGGGTGCTCAAATTCCCCTGAATTAGAAGAATGAGCCTGGTTCTGGTTAGTCTGAGAACCACGACGTTTGTTTCCTCTCCTGGTTCTGCAGTTGGAACGGCCACGGAAAGATCTAGAGTACTGAAGGTTGTGGAGAGCATTGCACTCAGATGTGTCATGCCCATGTATTCTATGATAAGTACAGCACGACAGATCTGACTGGTACTCATCATCAGTACAATGCCTCTTAGGGTGACTATCAGGACAATTAATTGCAATATGGCCACGGAAACCACAGTTGTAACAAGTCCGCTGACTATGGTTACCGAATGTACTATGAATACTACGAGGTTTATAATGACTCCGTACACTGGTCCTTGGTGATCACTGTGATGGTTGACTACCACGATTTGTCGCTGTGGCGCAAACAAGAGGTGGTGCAGACTGAGGCATAGGTGTGAAATTGCTTTTGATACACAGAAAAGTACCCTGGGGGCACAAGGAACATACATGATTTAGGGCTGTAAGTGGTTCCATCGTCACAGTTGGAGGATTAGCCTCATAAACACACACGGAAGCAGGCAGCATTAGATCTTTGATTGCTCCAAAAGCTGCTGTTTTAGCAAATGATGCTGTGGATGGTTTATCTTCATCAGGGACAAAAGCTGAGGACTGGACAGCATTGATAAATGATGATAAAAGTTTATCTAATCTAACAGCAAATGCACTCAACGATTCATTAGTCATGGGTGTAGCACTCACGAGTTCCTTAAGAATGACACATGGATCAGCTGTTTTTACTGGTACAAGGAAAGAACGAATCAGTAAGATTCCTGAAGTCTTGCATTTCAAGGAGATCAACAATGTGAACAGCAGCAGGGGACCGATGAAGAGCTTCTTTCGCAAGTCTGATAAGACTTTCCTCTGAAGGAGGACCATCAACTAGAGCATTAACACGAGAACGAATGGCAGTAAACCATGCTTCAAGACTATGTACATGGCCATTGAATATAGGTAACGCATCAAGGGAATCACGAGTAAAACTATAGTGTCTCAGTGTCTGGGTCGGTCTGTCAGTCAATAAGGAACTATGAGGACTGATGACAGGAGCAGCAGTAACCTGAGAGGGCTGAGTGTCACCATTCACTAAAGTATCACTTGAAGGTATGTGAGACATAATGGCAGAGAAGTTGCACAAAAACAAATAAGGCAAAAAAATAATGAATAATAAAAATGACACAAAATGCTAAAATTGAAATAAAAGAGATGTAATTAATTCTGCAGAAATAATAAAAAAAATGTCTAAGATACACTGCAAGAGGAAGGACAACTCAATGTAAGGGACTGCTGGCCAAGAAATTTACAAGTAAAAATATTACTGGAGACTGAATTAAATGCAAAATGAGCTGTCTGTACTCTTGCTAATAAAGAAATTAACTAATAAAACTGTAAATCAATGTAAAAAGTATAAAATAAAATCACTAAATTGTATGCAAAGAGAGATAACTGGGAAATTTAAATATTTTCTAAGAGTGCATAAACAAAATTAAAATATAATGAAAAGACAACATCAGGAAAAATAATAAATGAAAAACAAGACACTCAAACATTAATGAACTGAGAATAACAATGCATAAAAATATCAGTAAAAGAAAATAACTCACTGCAGAACAAGTGCAACAAAATAAGGCACAGAAATAATCAATGCAGCAATAAAAGTTACACAGGGAAAATGCAGGTTAAATAATGAAAATAAAAATATGAAGAAAGACTGAACACTTTAACTCTTAATTGCAAATTAAGCAAAACAATTTACTCAGAGTAAACGTTTCGCCTGTACCTCTCCTTCCGACAATATTTAAGTCTCAACACTGTCGTTTGATCTTCAGTTAGTTCCAGACTTTGGAACAGAACTTCTCCAGGCTGAGGGACTGACAACCTCAAATCTATGACTTCAAGGGTGATGGACTGATTACATCATCTTCACATCTCTATTGCTCCCGCCTACTTTCTGTACTCGACTGAAGAAGCCTGCTGTGTAGGCGAAACATTTCGAAATGAAGTTGCCTAAATGTTACCTATGTGTCTTATCTACCAACCATTGTTGTAAACAGTTAACAATTAAGCATAAATGAGTATTTCAAAGACAGATTATATGGTCATTTACTGTGTTGCTGTGCATTCAGTAGAATAGAATATTCTGTTAGATAATGTAATTAAAAATAACAGTTTGATTGGGTCACAGGTTAAACATTTATGAGATACAATTATTCAGTATTTATTTGGTTGTGGGTGAGTAAGTGATTTTTAAGAAGAGACTTGAATGTATAAACAGCTTATCAGTTATGTTCTTAAAACAAAATCTTGCTGTGACTGATACGACAAAAATTGCTCGCAAAAATAATGGTACACAAGTCTGCGAGAAGATCAAGGCAATGAGACACTGCTTGGCATAAAAAAAAAATGGTACTCACAGAAATAAATGGGTAATTTAGTATACTGGGGTGAATAGCACTGCATGAACTACAATAATGACAACTACTGGAGAGTACAATGCTGAAAGAATACAAGGTAAAAAAAATGAATTAATTAATTACTTCACACAAAGTGAATGACTGGGGTAAAAAACAAAATACTTCACACAAATAAAGAATAAACTTGTACACTACAAAATAATACTACAGGCAGAGAGTAGCATAAAAAAAAACAGATAAAAATATAAAAGTGAAACATGAAAGATGAACGATAACACCGAAAAAAATGTAAAAATAATGAGTCAAAGAAACACTGAGTCTACACTGAAAACACAAGGCTTAGAGTACACAAGAAATTCACTGTAAATGTCTCACACACGCAAATGTCTTTAAATGCAAGGCAAACGTCTCTAAATGGAAAATTATCACTGAAGACTGGAAGCAGTGGTGAATGGTAGTGACAGGTGATGAGGGGAAGACTGGTCCTGTGGGCGGATGATGATTCCTTCTACAGTCACATGGTTGTCGTGAAGAAATGCGCTGCGCTTTCCGAAGACTCACTTACGCTTTTAACGGTGGTGCTCAGGTGAAATACAGGTGTAGTACAGCTCTTGACCCAGTGTGTGAGCGGTAGAAAGGTGAATAACACCACAGGTGGGTAAGGGTGAGTGGCGGGTGGTGGTGGGGGCAGCTGAACGAGCTGGCCCTGTGCGCTCTCACTGCCACGCACTTCTCACCATGCACGAGAAAACTCCAGGTGGCTTAACTAAGTCACAAATGCCACAGGGATGGTGAAGACCACTCTTAGCATCCAACTGGGAGCACAAAGCGATAAAGGAGACAATACTTCAGAGGAACTTGCGTGGCTTACTTCTCTCTCTCAGCTGGGTTAGGAAGCTGGGTTATCATGCTGGCTTAACCCACGAGAATAGCTGACTGGGAGACGTGCAATGATGCACACAGTATGAAGGAGCAGGTGGATGACAGGAGACAGGCTGGATGATAGGCTGAGGCAGGCTGACTGGCACTCACTCCCACAGACTGGCCTACAGGCTGGCCTAATTGCAAAATCCAGGTCAACCCCTCGGAGATTGAAGCATTTAGCATGAATTAAGCCAGGAAGCTTGAAAAGCGGCTGCAACTGGCTTGCAGGCTGGAGTACACAGGGTGGAGGTGAGTGAGGATAAGCGGCTAGCTGGAGGTGGCAGAGATGGTCACCTCTGACCTGCCGGCACCCCACAAACAATCTTCTAACGTCGGAAATACCCGTAATTTCACGCCCACAATGCTGCCACCAATTTGTCATGTGGGGATTCGAAACGTGGATTGGGTAAGAACACTCGCATAGGCTGGTTAGTATGTATAATTATAACGGAAAATATGGGAAGCACAGGCCCGCCCTGCCTCTCTGCTCTCTATCTAAGACTGACTCACGAATGATGCCTAGGGGTGAGCGGCGTTCAAAAACATGCTGTAGTCAGCAGCAACAGTGAATAACAACAATTGATTCACACAGACGGTTGGTAGTGAGTCATACTACTGGTAACTTGTTACTGGGAACTGATACTACTGAGAAAGGACCTGGGAGTAATAATGTCAGAGGATCTCGCCTTCAAAGACCACACCAATGTACCTACCTCATCTGCTAGGAAAATGATAGGATGGATAATGAGAACCTTCAAAACTAGGGATACCAAGCCCATGATGATCCTCTTCAAAGCTCTTATTCTCTCTAGGCTGGAACTCTACTGTACACTAGTGGCCCCCTCCAAGGCTGGAAACATTACAGACCTGGAGAGCTTATAAAAAACTTTCACAGCACACATAAGTACAATAAGGCACTTAAATTACTGGGAATGGTTGAAGATCCTTGATCTGTATTCCCTCGAACACAGGCAAGAGATCTACATGATAATACACTTGGAAGGTCCTGGAGGGATTGGTACCAAACCTGCACACGAAAATCACTCCCTATGAAAGCAAAAGACTCAACAGCAGATGCAACATTCCCCCGATAAAAAGCAGGGGCGCCACGAGTACACTGACACACAACACCAGTGACATCCCCCCCACACAGAGACAACACAGTAAGTATCCGGGGCCCAAGACTGTTCAACTGCCTCCCAGCATACATAAGGGGGATTACCAATAGACCCCTGGCTGTCTTCAAGAAGGCACTGGACAGGCACCTAATGTCAGTACCTGACCAACTGGGCTGTGGCTCGTACATCAGTTTGCGTGCGGCCAGTGGTAACAGCCTGGTTAATCAGACCCTGATCCACCATGAGGCCTGGTCTCAGACTGAGCCGTGGGGGCATTGACCCCTGAAACCCTCTCCAGGTAAACTCCAGGTGAATCATTTTTCCTGTTTTTGTTTCCCAATGGCTTTGTCTCTCATATTTATTGATTTATTTCAGGGGATGAGTTTTCTGCATCTTTCTTGATGAATCACGGGTGTTCAGTGAATGTAGCCACACCTGGTGATGGCAGGACACCTCTCCATACTTTAGTCAGTCAAAATTATGAAGATCAGCAAACCCGGGATGACATGGTGAAGGTGACACAGATGATGATGATGAAGGGAGCCGACCCTAATATACAGGACAAGAATATGAAGTAAGTAATTTGTGGAAAAGACACACATGAAGTATAATGTGATCTTTTATTGACAGTGTTTGACCCACACAGTGGGCTTTATCATCTCACAAGCAGATCTGTTGGTGAACTGATAAAGCTCATTGTGTGAGGAAAACATTTATTTATTTATTTATTTATTTGAACATGATACAGTGAAGTACAAAGTTATTACAGTGCAACATGCCAAAGCCCCTTGTATGCAGAGCATTATGAGCAGGCTTAAAATTAACTTAAGATTAACTAAGCAATGATATACGTATTCAGTGGTAAATACATTATTGTAAACAGATAACAATCTAGCACAAATGAGTATTACAAAGACAGGTCATATGGTCATTTACTGTGTTACTGAGCATTCAGCAGATTGGAGTATTCTGTTAGGTAATGTAATTAAAAAATAAAGTTTGGTTGGGTTACAGGTTAGACATTTATGAGATACGATAATGAGAAACATTTACGAGATACAATTTATGAGATACAAATATTCAGTATTTATTTAGTTGTGGGTGAGTAAGTGATTTTTGAGAAGAGACTTGAATTTATAAACAGACAGTGTTTCTTTTATATTCACAGGTAATGAATTCCAGATTTTAGGGCCTTTTATGTGCATACCGTGAGATGGACTCGAGGAACATCAAAGAGTGATCTGTGCCTTGTGTTATGGTCGTGTGTTCTGTTGAGGTTGGTAAGGAGACGTTTGAGAGGAGGGTTTATATCAGAATTAAGTGTTCTATGAATGTAGTAGGTGCAGTAATAAGTATGGATGTTTTGAATGGTGAGTAGGTTTAGAGTTTTGAATGTTGGTGGAGTGTGCTGCCTGTAGTGGGAATTTGTTATCATTCTGACTGCAGCCTTTTGTTGGGTAATTAATGGTCTGAGATGGTTTATTGTTGTTGAGCACCATGCACAAATTCCATAGGTTAGATAGAGGTAAATAAGTGAGTGATATAGGGCCAGGAGGGCTGACTGTGGAACATAGTACCGTATCTTCGATAGTATGCCTATGGTCTTGGAAATTTTTTTGGAAATTTGTTTTATATGTGTTTGAAATTTGAGTCTATTGTCAAGGTGGATTCCTAAGAAATTTCCCTCTGTGAGTTTTGTGATAGGTGATCCATTTATCATTATGTTAAGAGGGACATCTGTAGCTCTGTTACCAAACTGAATGAAGTAGGTTTTGTCAGTGTTTAGAGTAAGTTTGTTAATACTCATCCAGGTAGATATTTTCTGTAATTCGGTATTTACAGTATTGGCTAGCGTGACTGGGCTCGGGTGAGAGAAGACGTATATAGTGTCATCTGCAAATAGTGTGGGTTTGAGTAGTTGCGATGCATTTGGTAGGTCATTTATGTATATGAGAAAGAGACGAGGGCCTAGGACACTTCCCTGTGGGACACCAACTGTAATTGGCTGTGCTGAAGAGTTTGCCCCATTTGTGTACACATATTGGCTTCTGTTGCTGAGGTATGACTTGAGGTAGTTGAGGGAGTGCCCTCTTATACCATAGTGTGACAATTTTATATGGAGCAAGTCATGGTCAACTGTATCAAAAGCTTTACGTAAGTCTATGAAGATCCCCAGTGGGACTTCTTTTTTCTCTATTGCAGTGTATACGTGTTCTAGCATATAAAGGATTGCATTGTATTGTATTTGTGCTTCTTTTTTTTTATTGTGTGGGTATTTTATTCTATTTATCTCCTAAGTGATTTGTTTTGGCAAGTAACCCTTAATGTAGTATCATCATATATTTATTCAAAAAACGAAGTCATGATCTGCCTTTGTGGTCTTCAAACAAATATTTAGGTCAGGTGTAACAGCCCCTTGCAGGAACAGAAACAAAATTCTTAGACCACACAGTGTGTCATGAGAGGCACAGGTCCATATCTGGCATCATGGCCAGATACAGTGACATTGGTAACAGTGATGCAAGATGCACTGAAGACGATTTAGAATGGATTCCACATAAATAAGGAAGCTGCAGCAGTGCAGATACAAATCATGTAACACAAGATCGAGGTGTCCGCCCAACCTCATGCACTCCTAAGAACATTTCCCTTCAGAAAGAATGATCTTTACATCATTACTTGTTAGTGGTGATGATGGACGTGACAGTGAATGTGACCTAAAACTACAGAATGCCATTTTTAGTGACAGTGACACAGGTGACCTATAAGCTGTAATGTGACACTATTTATGTAAGTTGTCATGTGAAACATTACTTATATAAGCTGTCATGTGACACACTACTTGTATAAACTTTGTCATGTGACACTACTTATGTAAGCTGTGTCATGTGACACTACTTGTATAAACTGTCATGTGACACTACTTATGTAAGCTGTGTCATGTGAAACACTACTTATATAAGCTCTTATGTGATACACTACTTGTGTTTTTTGTCATGTGACACGCTACTTGTGTTTCTGTGTCATGTCACACACTACTTGTATGAGATGTCACCTGACACTATACCTAAGTAAGCTGTCATGTGACACACTACTTGTGTAACCTGTGTCATGTGACACACTTCTTGTGTAAGTTGTGTCATGTGACACTACTTATGTAAGTTGTGTCATGTGACACTACTTATGTAAGCTGTGTCATGTGACACTACTTATGTAAGCTGTGTCATGTGACACTACTTATGTAAGCTGTGTCATGTGACACTTCTTATGTAAGCTGTGTCATGTGACACTACTTATGTAAGCTGTGTCATGTGAAGGACTATTTATATAAGCTCTCATGTGACACATTACTTGTGTTTTTTGTGTCATGTGACACACTACTTGGGTTTTTTGTATCATGTCACACACTACTTGTATGAGCTGTCACCTGACGCTATACCTAAGTAAATTGTCATGTACTCACCTAGTTGAGGTTGCAGGGGTCGAGTCCAAGCTCCTGGCTTGTGTAAGCTGTGTCATGTGACACACTTCTTGTATAAGCTGTGTCATGTAACACTGTACTTGTGTAAACTGGCATGTACTTACCTATTTGTCAGTGTTGGGCCCCCTGCTGTTCACAATCTACATAAACGACATAGATGAGGGCATAAAGAGCGACATCGGCAAGTTTGCCGATGACACCAAAATAGGCCGTCGAATTCATTCTGACGAGGACATTCGAGCACTCCAGGAAGATTTGAATAGACTGATGCAGTGGTCGGAGAAGTGGCAGATGCAGTTTAATATAGACAAATGCAAAGTTCTAAATGTTGGACAGGACAATAACCATGCCACATATAAACTAAATAATGTAGATCTTAATATTACGGATTGCGAAAAAGATTTAGGAGTTCTGGTTAGCAGTAATCTGAAACCAAGACAACAGTGCATAAGTGTTCGCAATAAAGCTAATAGAATCCTTGGCTTCATATCAAGAAGCATAAATAATAGGAGTCCTCAGGTTGTTCTTCAACTCTATACATCCTTGGTTAGGCCTCATTTAGATTATGCTGCACAGTTTTGGTCACCGTATTACAGAATGGATATAAATTCTCTGGAAAATGTACAAAGGAGGATGACAAAGATGATCCCATGTATCAGAAACCTTCCCTATGAGGATAGACTAAGGGCCCTGAAACTGCACTCTCTAGAAAGACGTAGAATTAGGGGGGATATGATTGAGGTTTATAAGTGGAAGACAGGAATAAATAAAGGGGATGTAAATAGTGTGCTGAAAATATCTAGCCTAGACAGGACTCGCAGCAATGGTTTTAAGTTGGAAAAATTCAGATTCAGGAGGGATATAGGAAAGTACTGGTTTGGTAATAGAGTTGTGGATGAGTGGAACAAACTCCCAAGTACAGTTATAGAGGCCAGAACGTTGTGTAGCTTTAAAAATAGGTTGGATAAATACATGAGTAGATGTGGGTGGGTGTGAGTTGGACCTGATAGCTTGTGCTAACAGGTCGGTTGCCGTGTTCCTCCCTTAAGTCAATGTGACCTGACCTGACTAGGTTGGGTGCATTGGCTTAAGCCGGTAGGGACTTGGACCTGCCTCGCATGGGCCAGTAGGCCTTCTGCAGTGTTCCTTCGTTCTTATGTTCTTATGTTCTTATTTGTGGTTGCAGGGGTCAATTAACAGCTCCTGGCCCCACCTGTAACTCTTTCCAGTCTTCAACTTCCATTTGTAACCTCTTGTTGCTGTGTCCACTTCCTATAGCTGAAGAAATACTTCCTGACATCCCTATAACTCATCCGAGTTTTCAGCTTACAGTTGTAAGCTCTTGTTGCTGTGTCCCATATCTGGAACATCCTGTCCCTATCTGCCTTGTCAATTCTTCTCAGTATTTTATATGTTGTTATCCTGTCCTCCCTATTCCTCTTGTCCTCCAGTGTTGTCAGGTCAATTTCCTTTAACCTTAGCTCTGGGACCAGTCTTGTTGTGATCCTTTGCACTTTCTCTAATTTCTTGATGTGTTTGACCAGTTATGGGTTCCATACTAGTGCTGCATACTCCAGTATGGGCCTGATGTACACAGTGTACCGAGTCTTGAATGATTCCTTACTAAGGTGTCAAAACGCTCTTCTTAGGTTTGCTAGTCACCCATATGCTGCAGCAGTTATTTGGTTGATGGGCACCTCAGGAGATGTTCTTGGTATTATACTCACCCCAAGATTCTTTTCCTTGAGTGTAAGTAAGTTTATTCAGGTATACACAAATACAGTTACATAGATTATCATACATAGCAGCATATGTGTAGAGAACTTAGGATAACCCCAAAAAATCAGACAGAGTGACTTATTTCCATTGCAGTCTTTGGCCCCCTAGCCTGTACTCTGTCTGTGATCTTCTTTGACATTCCCCAATCTTCATGACTTTGCACTTGATGGGGGTTAAACTCCAGGAGCCAATTGTTGAACCAGGCTTGCAGCCTGTCCAGATCTCATTGTAGTTCTTACTGATCCTTATCCAGTTTAATTCTCCACATTAACTTACCATCGTCTACAAACACCTCTTGTTTCTGTCCCTTCCAC